CATTCCATGTTTCCTATGGGTTGGAAAGTAGCACTTTTTACATCCTGACAGCCCGAGTTAGTGCCTGGCATGTGCTCAGCCTGTGGGATCTAGAAGCACATCTGGCCCTGGACAGTCAAGGAAGTCTGACCCCATTCACGAAGCAGCAAGCCTTTCTCAGGGGTCTTCATGCTCCCTATGGAATCGAAGGGTCTGTTTCCCTAAAGTCCAGGTTGCCGTAGGGCCACAGCATGGTTATGTTTGAAAATAACTTCAAATGATTGGGGACATTTGTTGTAGGTTTTCAATGATTGGGAACATTTGTTGTAGATTTTCTTCTATGCCCATCGCTGTGGTTTGAATGTGTTCCCTCCAAAATTCAGGTGCTGTCAATGTGATGTATTAAGAGGTAGGACCTTTAAGAGGTGTTTAGACCATGAGGGCCCTTCCCTTGTTAATGGATTAAGACCCTTAAGAAAGAGGCTTCACACAGCATTTTCTTGTTGGTTCGCTTTTCCTTCTGCCTTCTGCTACATGAGGACGTATCAAGAATGCCTTCACCAAATGCCAAATGTCTTGATCTTGGGCTTCCAGCCTCCAGAACTGTGAGAAAATACATTTCTGTTCTTTATGTATTATCCAGTCTCAGGTATTCTGTTATAGCAGCACAAAACAGATGAAGACATCCATGGTTCTCAGACTTGAGCATGTGTCAGATCTCCTGGAAGGCTTGTTAAAGCACACCTTGCTCGGTTCCACCCCTATGTTGCTGATTCAGTAGGTCTGGGGTAGTTGCTGACAACTTACACTTTTATTCTGGGAGGATACTTTGAGAACCACTGTTACATATGTACCTGCATTTGTCTCTACATGTAACTGAGATCAGCGCTCTAACCAGAGAAGGCTTGAGGTCCTGAAGGCTAGTGTGAAGGGCAGTGCTAGGCCAGCCCTGTCCAGTGGGAACATGATGTGAGCTACATATTAAACTTTCTAGTAGCCATGGTTTAAAAAAAAAAAAAAGTCAAAAGAAACAGGTGAAATTAAGAAATTAATTCAAATAGTGTATGTAACCAAACACTTGCAAAATACTATCATTTCAGTATGTAGTCAAGATAAGAAGTCATTGATGAGATTTCTCCCATTCTTATTTTCATACTGAGTCTTTGGCTTGCAGTGTGTATTCTGCACTTCCAGCACATCTCAGATTGGACAAACCACATTTCAAGTGCTTGGTGGCCATGTGGGCCAGGTGGCTGCCATCCTGGACAGTGCAAATCCAGGGTCTTCTCTCTGGGGAGACACTTTCTTCACTTTCTTAAAATGTGTCATTTTTAATTGCTTGTAGATATTTTTATATGTATTTTCTCAGTGTCTTAAGTGATAGGCAGCACTTTCCCTGTGGTTGTGACCTCTCTAATCTATAATTCTTGAGTATGTTTAAATCTGTGTGGCTCAGAAACTCTCTCGACAGTGGTCGAGGCTGGGGCTCCTTTAGGCTGGGGATGGCATCAGGATGGTTGACGTTGGTGTTACCAGGGAGTGAATGTTCTTGCTATTCCCTTGCTCAAAAAAATTGAAAAGATCGATTAAGGGGTCATGACAGAGTGAGAGATGGTTTATGAATGAGAGGTTGGTAAGGAAGAGGGAGCATTGATTTTAGATGGAACATTTTATAATGGGGTAGAAGAGAAACGAGGCAAAACCAAGGCTGCAGTACGTGAAAGGTGGAGAGTCCTCTCTCTATGTTTGTCTATATCTGTCTTTGTATACATATATGGACTGTTTAAGTACAATTTGCTTTTGACTTTTTAATTTGATTAGTACCATGTGGAATTATGTTATTCTGACTCTTGTATTGTTATTGATAATAAAATGAGAGCACTAACTTTGATAAGGAACCATTTTATGAAGGTCGTAAAATATCTGTCACCTCCCAAAGTTTCCTCCCATGTCCTTTGTTGTTATAGTATTTTGCTAGGTCAGAACACTTAACATAAGATCTACCATCTTAGCAATTTGAAGTATACAATGCAATATTGTTAACTATAAGCACTGTGCTGTATAGGAGACCTCGAGGACTTACTTATCTTGCATAACTGAGACTTTGTACCCTGTAACTATTATATCCCCATTTCAGCTTCCTGCCAGGTGCCATTGGCCAATGGCAGCTGCCATTCTTCTCACTGCTTCTAAGAGTTTGATCGTTTTAGATTCCACATATAAGTGAGTTCATACAATACTTGTGTTTCCATGTCTGGCTGATTTCCACTTCTGGATACAGATTGAAAGGAATAGAAGTCAGTATCTTGAAGAGATATCTGCACTCCCATGTTCATGACAGCCAAGACAGGGAAACCACATGAATGTCCATAGATGGGTTAATGGAGAAAGCATACTGACTTTTACGTGTTGTATTTCTCTTTTAACATGATGACACAGGAAATGCAAGTCAAAATAAATCTATTAGAACTTGGTAACTCCTGAAAGTTAACTAGCACTAAACCGCAAACCCTGGAAATTAGCTCTTTGAATCCATTAATAAAGAAGCAATTTTAAAGCTGAACTTTTAGTGGATAATTTGGTTTGTGAGGCACTGAAGATTGGAATAAACGTCTTAGACCAATTGGAGTGCATCTGTAGTTCAAAGAACAGTGGCTGTTGAATCTAATACCTTCAGAAGATGGGGACTTCTCCATGAAATGTTCAATGTTGGTGCCCCACATTCAGTTTTCTCTTAAATTGGTTAAAAACAAGTACCATGTTTAAGTAGAGGAGCATTAAAAATACATGCAGTCATACATTCAGATACATGTGATAATAATGGTCTCTGGAAGGCCCTGACATTTGAGTTTCATTAAAGATTTTTATCCCGAAATATTATTCTATTATTCTGTTCATTTGTCACAATCTCTCATTTCAGTGTGGCTGATTCAGTATGCACTTGAAACCATTTGAAATGACTAATGGGTTTTGGGGGTGGTCGCTTTAGAAAAATTGGCATTTCAGAAAGACACATTTTCCCCTCCATCTCTGTTGATGTTTGAAGTCTTCAAAGTGTTGCTGTGATCAGAGAAAAACATTTCTTGTGAAATAGTTTTCTCTGAGAGTACATTGATTTGAGACTGGCTGGCTGTTGATTCAGATCATCTCTTCTGGAAGAAGTTGTTTTCACAGAACATGCTTCAGGGTGAGGCCTGGGGCTTGAAAGAGTTTTCTTCAGTTCAGAATACATAAATATAAAATTAACCCAGCTTTAAAATAATCTTCAAAGTCAATAAAAAATGGAGTCTTTCATATGTTGAGGCAGTAAAGTTCCTAGCCCACATTGCTCCTCAGTGACCTGTGCATGCTTCATAGGTTCAGGTTGCAGGTATTAAGTATGATTACATGGAAAGTGAGTGCTAGGAGAGACGACTTTAAATTTCCTCGGTGAATGATTGGTTTATTGTAAATACTTTCTGCCTCTCCTGAGGAAAATGCACATGTAACAATTTGCATATCATTCAGGGCTTTCGTGGGCCCCCTAAAGTCTCTAGGTGTCTCTTGACTTTTGTTGAAACCCCTGAATTAGTTGCTCTCTTGCGTTTCATTTCTCTTCATGAATGGCAGAATTCTATAGCTATGTCATATTAAGGATCTTCATAGATATAATCCCTTGATACACAGATGGTGAACTTTTGGTGTATTGATACTGCCCAGATCACATATGCTCAATACCCTGGGGTGTATGAAGGAGATAGATTATACTGAATTGACTAGAATTCCTAAAGAGATGGCTGTGGAGCTGAGAAAAGAGCAGGTAGACTTGGAATCGTCAGACTTACCCACTAGCTAATCTGGTAATTTTCAAAACTGTTCCAGCCTCAATTTCCCCTTCTGTATACGGAATGAAGAATGTGTCGTGACTATCTGGCACTTAAGTGAATTAACAGTGAACCCTGTAGTTAAATAGATAAATGGAAATAAGCCTGGGGAACGCTCATCACTTTTGCTTGTTGCTTAAACATTAATATTTCCCATAGAGTCATGTCTGGCAGGCTCTAGGTTCTTAGAGAAACTGGAGGGCGGCTGATGGGCAAGGTCCCTGAGGACTCTGAGAACCTCTTCACTTACAGTGGGGAAGCCATGGAACCTGGAGAGCCCACCCAAGAAAGGGAAATGAACTTGAAAATCAATATTGTGAAGACAGGAAGTTGGGCTCAGGCTTTTAGAAAATCATTTTTTGGACCTGTGCTCTCCAGAGGGCTAGAAAAGTTGCAAAAGTCTTTTGATGAAAGGAAACCTCGAATCCATCTGATAAATCTAAGATCTAATCAGTGTTTACATACAGTAACATAATAATTCATTAATTAAAATGTACTTGGAAAGCATTTGAGAGCACATTCATTTGTTCACTCTTATTATGCTATGGATAGGCATAAAACCTTTTTGGGAGAGGTATGTATCATTGTTTTTTTGAGATGGAGTCTGGCTCTGTTGCTCAGGCTGGAGTGCAATGGTGTATTCTCGGCTTACTGCAACCTCTCCCTCATGGGTCAAAGTGATTCTCCTGCCTCAACCTCCTGAGTAGCTGGGATTACAGGCGCACACTACCTTGCCTAGCTAATTTTTGTATTTTCAGTAGAGACAGGGTTTCACCATGTTGGTCAGGCTGGTCTTGAACTCTTGACTTCGTGACCCGCCCACCTCAGCCACCCAAAGTGATGGGATTACAGGTGTGAGCCACTGCGCCCAGCCTGTATCATTTTTACATTAACAAATGGAGCAGATTTCTGTGTCTCTTTGAGTTGTTCAGAGACCTTGATATGTCTACTTCTGTTGCCATCTCTTGAAAGGGTCCTGTCTAATGTCTTAGGTCTGGAAGAATTAAGTCTGTTTTTTTTCTTTTGGAAGCTTAATTTTAATTTTCTCTTTAATAATTGTTGTAATTTATGCATATGTTATGCATGCCATTTATGAAACTCCAATCTTGTTCATGTCTGATAATTGATTAATCTATTTTCTTCTGCTTTTATTTTCAGATAGAAGAATTTCGAAGGCTGAGGACGCATGTTAAGGGGGCAGAACTTGTGGAAGGCTGTGATGGGATTTTGGGAGACAACTTTCGGCCCACTCAGCCTCTTAGTGACAGAGTCATTAGAGCTGCATTTCAGTAGCCAAAGAGGACAGGAACAAGTCTATCTTCATGAGGGTATGTCCAGATTAAGTAAGGAAAATGAGGTGCACAGCTACTTAAACCCAGCATACCAAAGGTACACTTATGGTGATCCTGGTAATTTAGTAATAAAAACATATGTACTTCATCTTGATAAAATTTATGACACATTCTTGAGCTCTGTTAATTACAGGTCAAGTAGTTATTTTAATCTTATGCAGTATTGAAGAAAAACTATGATTATATTTTCCTATCAGAGTAGCCTTTAATTCCAAGTTTTGGTGGCTTTCATAAGGAAAGACACCCTGAGGCCCAGAAAAAGTGACATGCATACCTCTTTAGTAACTTACCATGTTGTCCCCTTGAAGCAGCACGAGTCATGTCCCAGTGACCAAGGAGCACACAGGAGGGGGCTTGGGGAACATGTGAGCCTCAGTGTGGATCCTACTTGTCTCCTGCACAATTGATCCTCTTGTTTCTCAGGGTAGGGAGCATATCTGGCATGCACTGAAATACTTCTTCTATGGAAGTGCTTTTTATTTGATAAATTGAGAAGCAGTTATTAATTATCTGAATATGGTACACTGTTGGTTGAAACATTATGTATTTTAATATACTGAATTCAATGTATGTATTCCTTACTCTTAAGGAACTAACAAAATAAAATATCACAAACGTGTAAGAGATAAAATATAAAAAAAGACTATATATTGGATTATTTCTTTACCTTGTAAATTAACTAAGAGTGTATAGATCATTGTACATCACTGGCAAACCATAGCTTCCTAAGGGGAAAGCATCTGTTGGAATGGAACCTAGGGAAGCAGCGAAATCTCATCTCTATAAACAATTTAAAAATTAGCTGGGTGTGGTAGCATACACCTGTAGTCCCAGCTACTCAGGAGGCTGAGGTGAGAGGATCACTTGAGCCTGGCAGGTGGAGGCTGCAGTCAGCTGAGATCGCACCACTGCACTCCAGCCTGTGTGACAGAGTGAGACCATGTCTCAAACAACATAAAACAAAACAAAAAAACAAAGAAGTCTGTCAGGTAGCCGAGGTGACAGATGCGGAGGCTTGGACACTAGAATAGAAACAGTGGAGGTGGAGAGAAGTTAATGTATGTGAAATAGAAATCACAGGTTCTAGCTCATGATGAATTGGATGAGGGGTGGAAGGAGATGGAAGTGTCAAAGATAACTTCTGGGGTTTTACACTTTGGAAACCCTGGATGGAGTGTCACTGAGTGGCAGTGGGAAAGCTGCGGGGAGGCCCTGTTTGGTTGAAGATGAAGAGTTGAGTTGCAGCACAGTGAGTGAGAGATGCCTGTCAGCCAAACTGCAATGGTGGACTCTGGTCGTGAAGGTCATTAGAATTTCCAGAGTAGAGAACAGAAAACAAGTCTGGGTTGAAATAGGGAAGTATTGGGTGTAGACATTGTATATGTTCATATAATGCTCTGATGGATCTAATGGAGTTACTTAATTAAGTGTGTATAAAATCTTGTGGGAGGCTTTACAGGCAAGTTAGCCAAGACACAGAGAAGTTAGGCTACGGCCCAAAGTAATACGGTTATTGAGCAGTGGAGCCAAAGCAGATCCAGGTAGCTTGACTGGCAGACCCCTTTTTCTTCACCACGACCTGGGCAGAGGTTGAAGAGTTCTGCCACACTGGCGTTCGAGTGGCACATCAAGGAGGGATTCTGTTGCAGCAGGCTGAAGGACATAGGAAGGGAGGAGCTGGAGACTCCAGGTCGCAGCCACCTTGGTGGGCTGGGCTGGGGTGGGGCAGGAGGCCACAGCAACAGAGAGGGGGTGGGATTGAGGAAATCTTTTTTTTTTTTTTCTTTTTTAAACAAAAGAAATAGAACTTGTCTATATACTGGGGGATGGAAAAGGAGCAAGTAGATGGAGAGAGGCTGAAGGTGCTGCTTTTGGGAGGAGCTGGAGCAGTGAAGTCTGAAAAGTGGAAAGGGATGAAATCCTAAACACACAGGGAGCCTGGCTTTTGCTGAGAGGATGGGCACTCTCTGTGCTGGAATGGGAAGGAAGAAAGAAGGAGGTGGTAGTTTAGAGCTGCTGTGTACCCATGACTTGCTCTTATCATTTAATGATGAATGGGGCAGGAGCTAGGAGCAGGAGAACAGCAGGGAAGATAGGATAGGAGCAGAGGAAAAGGGAAGGATGTGTTCATAGGAGAGGCCAAGAGGCAGCGGGGGTGGGATGAAGGTTGCAAAGCGTGAATATATGCATTTATCCAGTCTAGGTTTAGTTAGTATACTCCCTGTGAATGTGAATAACTGTAAATGATACTTTTAATGAGGGGAGATTATTCCCTTGAATGTTTGGTTTGTATCTGGTCCTAGACCAGAGTTGCCATTCTCTAAATATCTAAATGACTATTATTATTTTCTGTCTCTCTTTTACACACACACACACACACACACACACACACACACACACACACACAGAGAGAAACGTTGTTTATGAGATTTTGTATATTTCACATACTTCGTATTCTTTATATGATAGATGAATAATGTGTAGCTTTTCAAAGTTTTGAGTTAATTACAATTTAGGTACTATTTCTGATAGGAAGATGGATTTGTATTCTTATCTTGGTGGCTGAGATTACTTAAAGGGCATAATTTGCTCCCAAATTCCTAAGAATAGTACAGGAATTCTATGGTGACTCTAATTCTGATTTCATTTTTTTATGAAAACATTTTTTATCCTTTTATCTTGAAATGTGTAATACAAATCTAGTCAGAGTTCTATATAAAAATTATATTGGGAATCAGACTTATGTGTGTGTACTTTTTATTTGATATTTAATAATGCCCTAAGGCAGGTAATTCAAATTTTTATTAAAGTGAAATGATTTGACAGTCACACTTTGAATTTAATGCATGAATGTTTCATTTAAGCTCTTGGAACTGAAAAGGAAAAGACATTTCTCTGGTAGTTGTTCTCTAAAAAATGTTTAAAATAATTCAGATTTATTTTAGCGATGTTTTACTGAAATAACTTTAGTTTTTAGACTTAAAATGACAGATTTAAAAAAAAATGGCATGTCTGGGCACCTGGAAGACTTTGATAACCAAGCTTTATTATTCCCATGAGTAATCTGTGACTTTTTATATTACCATTTAAGAAGTATGAACTATGATTTTGTATTATACTTGTTTAAAGAATTAGTATGTAATTCATCCAGGTGCTGGAAAATCTTTGGTTCAGCAGTGCTAGTTCAGATTTATGGGGGCCTATTGATTTTAAATGATCCTTTACCCATTGAATTTTCTATATGATGCAGGAGAACTAAATGTATTTTAATAACAATGAACAAATGATATAACAAGTTTAAGGTCCAGTTTACTTGTTACTTTTGCTATCATGACATTGGTAGTAATCTTCCAACAAAATGATTATTTGATTATTTACCTTTTTATTTCATTAAGTGTTCGCCCATTTTTAAAAGACTATTCTGACTGCTCAAAGACTGCCTCGCTTGTGACCTAAATATTGTTAAGCTGTATACATGTTTATAGTAACTATAATGAATTATAATTATTTTCTGTAAAAAGCAATGCCACATGGCTCTTTAAATAGTTTCTCTTTTTTTCCCCCTTAAAGGCGGAAAAATAAGAATTCCCTAAATAGGTTAAGAAAGAAACAAAGCCAGAAAAATGGGGTTATTCAGCAAGCATCTCCAAATAGTCCCATTGTCAAACTTGCCCTTATTTTTCTTTTGGAATCTTTGAAGTTATCCTTGACTATTGAACTCTTCCCTACTTGTACTTTTGCAGTTAATAATATTGTCTTCTTAGCTTTAGTAAAGCTATAGCAAGCATCAATTTTATGTCAGTCTTCTTTGATAACCTAAAAGGGTTATAGGTTAGAAAAGGATAAGGCGTTATAGAGAAGGGTGTGCCTGTATGGGGAAAGTGAGAATGTTCACTCTGAATGACCAAGTAGGTGAATGCTATTATCCTTCGAGATTAAATGGAAAGCTCAAAGCCATATTTTCAGTCAGTGGAACTTGGACTCTCCTCACTCTGATAATTTAACATGGTACACAGCATTAGGGTGAGAATTGAAGGCTCTGTAGATATAGCTGTTTTCTATTTATTATATCTCATAGAATTTCCTGCAACTGGAATGGATTTCCTACCTGATCTCAAAATGATTTCAGTAAAATGCTAAAACACCAAGGATGGTCAAAATACCTATTATGTTTTGATTATGTGATATACAAATTATTAACCCACCAATGAAAAATACAAGAACTGTAAGAGCTCCTTTCAAGTTTACTAAACAAAGAGAATAATTCTTGCTTTAAAATATGTCTCTTCCATTTTATGTTTTAGAAATGTTAATAATTTATCATGGATGAAAATTTCAGAATGATTTTTTTTCCTCCCACTGTGAATTAAAACAAAATTGTGTTTGGGAGGATGAATGTTTTACAGTCATGGGCCAACTTGTATGTTGAATGTTAATATGTTCTGACACCCTCAATATAGTAGATTTCATGATTTTAAACCTAAAGAATATATTTTTCCATAAGGAAATCACTGTGACCATTTCGTCATCTAAACATGTTCTTTCATGCCTTTTACCTCATGGATGCTCAAAAGGTAGAAGCAGACATAAAAACAATTGTTTTTATGTATCAGCAAACGGCTTTGAATTAGCTAAGGAAAGAATTTATTTCTAGAGGCTACAAGAAAGACCTTTCCTGTAAGTAGATGGTCTAAATCTTGCAGTGGGTTTTCAAGGAAGACTAAGGCATTAAATACTTGAGGTTCCTCGGTGGTTTAGGTGGGACCCTGCCTGGACAGGACTTGGGGAAATGTTCCAACAGACCTCACTAGGGCCGTTCGAGCACTGGATTTTATAGTTCCCTGGTTTATGATGAATATGGTTTCCTATGTCTCTGTTAAATTTGTCATGGAAAAGAGAAACCAGAGGGAACAGGAAGCAGGTAAATGAGGAGGAAAATGAAATGAATGCTTCTTTATGAATGAGGTTTTGTTAGT